CAGGTCAAATGTCTGACCTGTCCATTAAAATGTATAGAATGTGTAATAACCGCCTGTAATTGTAATAACCTACAACAGAAATTATTTGTGAATACTGTGATTCTGTAGTACAGCTTGTGGTTGCTCATGACCTCGATGTTTATGCGACCATTATAAATAAATCTAATAAAAAAATGGTCTGAGTAATACTGGTAGAAGTGTTTATCCATTCGTTGAGGTTTCCTGGTTAAGCGAATAGGACTATTTGATCCGGATGAAGATTGTCAGTGGATTTAATTTTTGTCAGTCATTTAGGTCTTGTAGTTAAAGCCGCAGGTTGCACTAGCTGGTTGCACTCCTTTGCGCATCATTGACGCATATACCGCGCTTACTAAAAAAACTACACAATCCACCACAAAATGATTTTCGGAAATCTACCTAGAGCGCACACTGATAAACAACAAACAACAACAATAAAATATTATTGTACAACAGGCCAGTTAATTATTTTAAACAAAAACATTTCTCACGAATTTGCAATAGTACGGGCAGTATTCAGTGCAGCAGTTCTGTTAGTACCAAGACTTCACATGACGAATGTTGAAGTGACGTCAACTGTGTCTATCAGTGGCGCACTGAGTATGAGGCATCAAAACTCGAGTCCATAGATGAGGTATGCGAATATGAGTAAGCACAATCAAATACTTCCATTTTCGACAACAGCACTTTCGTATTGTTTTTTTAATACTTCTTGGGTATGTAACAAAACCATAGATATCCTCTTTATAAAGGCTGCAGAGTGTGCTTCATGCGCGCTTGAGAAATTACTTTATTTCTTATAAACATCGTAAGATTCTTATGGCATTATTTTATTGACTCGGAGGATATGACGGTGTTCTCTCTGTTGGAGGTGGGATACAGCGACGACGTACATACCGACTATCGAGAGATTTCCCCTTCCAGGAAACTCCTTCCTGCAGGACCCGGGCATTGCCCAAAAAGTGTTTGTTCATAATTATGACAAGGGCTCCAGTTGTGTCTCACCCAGGCGTGCGCTTGGTGTCCTAATACCGCATCCTCGCCGCCTCTGGCTTTTCTCCGCGGCCGCCGCCCCTCCTAACTCTCGCTCGCATCGCTCTCTCTCGCTCTCTCTTCGGCTGGCGCTTCTAAAACTGCGCCTTCGCAGCGTCGCAGAAAGCAGCGCGAGAGGCACTCCACGCGAGATTGCGGCGGGCGCGGGCGGGCGCTCGCCGCGCCGAGCACCTCTTGATAGGCGCGCGGCCGCCGAGATAATTAGTCGCCCGCGCGGCGCCGGGGCGGCCACTCGCGCGCTTATTCTCGGCGCTCTCCTTCCCGACTGCCCACACACACACGCCCACCATCCAACCACCCATCTACCCGGCACAACTGGCCGCCCGGCTCCGCGCCCACCGGCCGCCCGAAACACAGATACACGCGCCCTTAGACGTACCCAACCACCCTCCCGGCAACCCCGCACCACCGTCTGGTCCTCCGATCAACGCGCCCACCCTCCACCACCCTCCATACACCCTTCCAGCCACCCTCCGACATCACCACCCTCAACAATCCACCCCTCAAATCACCCTCACAATCCACCCTTACATCCACCCTAACATTCACCCTTACAATTCACCCTACATTCACCCTTCTACATCCACCCTACATCCATCCCTCAAAATTCCACCCGCTCACATCCACCTCAAATCCATCCCTCACATCCACCCTTACATCCACCTCACATCCATCCCGCACATCCACCCTTCAATCACACTCTCTCACCCACCTTTTCCATCCACCCTCCAAATCCACCCTCACATCCACACACCTCTCCATTCACTCTCATTCACCCTCAATCCACCCTCAAATCCACCCTCAATCCACTCACTCCACCCTTACATCCACCCTCTCATCCACCCTCACTCCATCCTTCAAATCTAACCCTCTCATCCACTCTCCCACCGTCAAGGGCCTGCTCCGCTTCAGACCAACTTGCCCGCCCGCTCGTCTCGGCCCCTCCCCCCGGCTATATATGCCAGGTTGACCCAACTAGCCCGGTGCCCCACCTGTTTTACCCCCTCCGCGACCAACGCGAGCCAGCCTAAATTGCCGCGCATCCCAAATGTGCCTCTTCCGGTCTTTGTCGTCTTCCCCTCCCCTGAGCTTCCCACCGCCGCACGCGCGCTCGTTCTCCGTAGGCAGCTGGCGGAGTTGCGCGGTTTCGTTTTACTGCGCAGCAACTTGCGGCTTTGAGCGGCACTTGTGCGTGCTGCTGCGCTCTTGTTCCCCAGAAGCGCTCCGAGAAGAAATGACATGTCATAGTCGACCTGTGCGACATTGTTTCGCCAGCGTGTTCACTCTCCCTTATTCCTCTCAGCTTCATCAAAAGGTTGGGAAATGGTAGCAAGTTCACACTACGAAAGCAGAAGAATGTCGTATACCTCTCGTTCAATACCTTGACAGTAATACCTGGGTCGTGGTTACTTCACGTATGAATGGGTTTGGTAGATGTACTGTATTTTTGTACCACATTTACTGTATGCTTGGTGGATAATGCGGGGCTCATTATTTGGCAGTGACATCTATACGTAGGTCTATGTCGACGATCGGACATGTCGGTTCCGCTCATTCTTGCTGTTCTTGGCAGAATCGGGTGTATCCGTGAAGCTCGGTTCTCAGCATCTCTGTGCGCAGTTTGATACTAATTGTTTGTTTGTAGCTTCTGATAAACATGATCTTTCTTACAAAGCTGATAATAATTAAATGGATAATTTTAATTTATTTTAACAGTAAACTATTTGTGTTACTACATCACATACTTTCATGAATTATTTGTAATGGACACTCATAATTACGCGAAAATTCGTACATTTAAAAAAATAACATGTCACGCAACATTATGAGAAAAGTACTCATAGTACGTAAGTACGTAGTAAGCGAGAAAAATTGAGATTACGTGATAAGTTTTCATTGACAATGGGAATACAGGAATTGTATGTTAATAATTGATGAATTAAGATACATACGTTACTGAAAGGTTTCGTAGGATTTGTTTATAATTACTTCTGCAAATGTTATATTATAATTTTGCGATTTGCCTTGTGAAATCGAAATCGTGTCCTTCAGTTTTCACCGTAGGAGAGCATGTTATAATATTTGTATACATATCTGTTACCCCCTCCAGGGAATGTGGAATAAATAATGCTTGTAATGTTAAATGTCGTGCTTGAGCAACAAACGGTGTCGTAATGTTCGGTTACGCCTCCAGCTTTTATCCATCGTTGCCGTCTCTTTCGCCAATACCGATTTCGAACCACGAAAACAGGTCTGAAATTGATATAGTTCGTTCTCAAAAATAGCAATACCAAGCTCATAAATAACGATAGGTTAGCGTACCCACCTTTAGTGTTGAATTCAAAATTTTCGAATTTGGGTATAAATTAGTCTTTAATTAGGACAAACGTCTGGTACATTTAGTTTTTGTTTCATGCGTTTTTCTTGTGTGGGTATGCTAACTTAACGTTAAGTTAGCGAACCCACATTTGGTGTTGAATATTTCGATGTTGTGCATTAGTGGAAATTTTTCAAATTTGGGTATAAGTTAGTCTTTAATTAGAACAAAATTCTGGGATACAGTTTTTCAATATTGTGATAAGTGGGTATTCTAACTTTACGGACATTGATTGAAGCCTGACTGACTTCATGATCAGCTCTACTCACCACATTCTAAAATGTCATAGATTCATTAGTTGGTTGAATATATTTGTATTGAAAAGAAAACACATAAGGGAATATTGTGCAAATTTAGTTCAGCCGTTTTTGTGTAATCTTATCTTTTTGTGAGTTCATTCCATACAATTAAACTTGTCATTAATATTTCTTGTTGATCTATGTACTAGAAAATTCAATTTCTATAAACCAGTTGACTAATACAAACATTTTAACTCGAAGAAAATCCTCTTTCAGTATGTTTTATCGACATGAGTTACAAGTATTTGTATTTTTATTTTAAATAATAATTATTCTATTATCTACTTGGGTATTTTCCTTCTTTTTTATTTAATTTCTAAGCTCTCAATTTCTGATGCATTTACCAAATATACAAATTCATTTATTACCTATATTTTGTACTTTCTACATATAATGCTTGTTTTGCTATGTGAAAATAAAATAAAATAATTTCTTCTAACTCAAATCTCTTCTCATTAGTGAAATTCATGTAATTGGTATTCACAACTGAATTATATAAATTAAATTATATTACATTCCAGTGTATATGAGTTTAAATAAATATACAAATTACATTCAAGAGAACACATTGTGTTATTCAAAACGACTGTTTCTGAATTTCACAACATATAACTAAAGCTAGATACGTCCCAAAAAATGCATTCCCATATTCTAATGTACTTATTCCACTACTTAATTGTCCTTTATTGAAGGAAAATTATCTTAAAGGCTTAGTGTCAAATCAAAAAGGCTTAGTGTTGCCACCTGACATGCTCGATGTCTGTGATCTATGCTTTTTTGACTTGCAATAATCAATTGATTTAGGACTTAAATTATTCATATCAGGCATAAACTTAATCTCCCTACTAATACAACATTATTAATAGTGGGTTCATAATTTTTTTTTCGTCTTTTAACAATTTGGAATTGAAAATTAACCCTCAGTTATAGAAACTGATTAGCTCATTCAAAGTGATTTCCTTCAAAATAGTTTTTCAGAGAGCTTCACAACTTTTTTGCAATTAAATTAATTTGACATTTAATAATTAAGACGACAGGAAGGAATAATGCATTCAATAATTTTAGAGTTCCATTTCTAAAGAAATACATCTAATTTGATTTCAAATTTTTGAAAATTTTGGTGTATTGTAATATTTATTTATTTAGTTTTACTTACTTTACAATGGAATACTAATTTAATTTACTATATTTTCATCTGAAATTATGGATACAGTATTTAACATTCACATTTATTTGTAATATATATTCACGAGATTGTTCTTCATGTGTTACGAGCAAGCCCGTCTCTTGCGCAGGTGGTGCGAATGCTGGCGGCGGTGGTGGCGGTGTTCGCGGCGCTGTGGTTGCCGTACCGGGGCATGCTGGTCTACAACTCCTTTGCCACTCTGTTCCAAAAGGACAAGTTCATGGACCTCTGGTTTCTCATGTTCGCCAAGACGTGTGTCTACATTAATAGGTGAGAGTGAAGCGAAAGTGCGCCTCCTGATGACTGGTTATTTGCTTAATTATAGGAAATATTTTGAGTGTTTTATAAAAAAGAAAATAACAGTTCTTAAATTGCCCTTGTTTTGGCTTTTATCAAGCCTTCCTCAGGACTAAAAACAAATAGTTTACAGTTTATGTGTTATGCTCTATATGTCTCTAATTCGACAATTCTTCGTGCTTGCGTATTGTTGTGGCATCCTACTGATGGTTTTAGAAATGCTATGAAATCATGACAATTCAAGTCGCAGTCTCATATATTCAGTAAGATGTAATAGCATTTATCGTCATATATCTCGAATCAGTGTGCGTAATTGATTATATTGGTTGATTATTTCCGTGAAATGGTCCAAAAACTCTTGATAATCACAGGAAACAGTGAATTAAACGCTATTTAAAAATTACTATCACTCACAAAGTTTTAAAGAATTTGAGGTATTGAAATGATAGATATATGCCAAATACGGTTTCAAAGTATACAGTATCAGTCCCTTTTAAGCATTCTGTATAAGTAGTTGAAACGAGTCTTACTCAGGCAAGAAATTAATAAGCTAGACTTTTTTCATTCAAATATGATGTATTCACATCAATTCTCACACGTCTTTACGACACAGCGCCGTTATTTCTGTATTTATATATTTTCCTATAAAACTATGTGAAATATGTTCAATGTTTATTAATTAATAAAATGAATCTATTAACCGACAGTTCTTGCACTATTTAGTAAATCTATATACTTTGATGCTTCTCACTAGCATGTCCGTGCTATACTTGTAAACTGCAAACCATCATGAAGAGCAATCATATGAGGGTTTCAAGCAAATAAGTTATATGATAGTTATGTCATTCAATTATCTTCCATTAGGTATAATAATTACAATATCTGAAGAAGGTATGAAATTTGAAGGTATCTGATGAAGGTATGAATCCAGCGGCAATTATGCAATAAAAGCTAATTCCTCATAAACGGAAAACCTGTCTTTTATTAGTTATAAAATTGCAGGTGCTCTACTTCCAAATAAACTGAATGTATATTCAATGGGTTTCTTTTGGTATTTAATTTTCGTTGGTGTCGCTTAATTCAAATGAAATTCCGTAATTTTTCCCCCTGCCTTTTCTCTAATACGGATTTTTCAAGCCCGGTGAGGCCATATATCTCCTAAAATATTTCTTCCAGAAGGTTTTGTGATACAACTTGCTTAAAAATTCACATTTACAAATCCAGAAACCACGGTCCTAAATGAAAACATAAGATATTGGTAAAATATCCACACGCAATGTGAAATTTGTAACACTGACACTTTGTAAAGCCATTTTGCGGGATTGGATCCATGAACTGCTCCTCCACCTTCATACCTCATTCCATTATAATATATTTTTCTATGGAACACTATTATCAAATTTGCCCATAATCACGTCTGGGGTTTGAAACCGAATACAACCTTTCTCTGATCAGCATGTGTAATTAGAGATTGCCCGTAAAATACATAGTTGTTCTCTGAATTATTAAATTACCAAATCTACTTTGTAGTTCTATGATTTCATGATTTATTTTATATATACATATACGTGTGGCCCACCTAAGATGTTCCCTTCAATTTTCTCCTGAACTGATGCAGATACTGAGATGCGGTTTTCTCTAAAACTACGAATGCTAAGGAGCACATGTAGTCATGCATAATATTATTGCAGAGATATTGTCCCAACTTCGATTTTTTAAATGGAACCCTATATTTTTTAGCTCCTCATAACAAGCGTGAAGAGACGAGTTCATAAATATGCACATCGCCATAAGTTGCATAACATAATTTCCGAGAAATTAAGTGTTTTAAAGACGCACGCTGGCTGCGACATAATCTTCTTAAAAAAGTCCTGATCATCTCGCACGTGTTCCAGAACAAAACGACAAAACGTTTCTGGTAATCACAATCATAAAGCTTCTAGTGCAACGAAATGTGGTAGGGGTGAAACTTGTTACTCTTCAAGATGCTGAGGGCACTACAACGACTAATGCCGGAATCTCTGGCAATGTCTCGAGAGCTCATTTGGGGATTTTTGTGTAGAGCTGCAAGAACGGCGGCTTGTGCTTTCTCATTTGTTGTCCTTTTGCTCCTCAAACTAGTCATTGCGTTCCAGTCGCCTCTCTGCATGTCCTGCATGGATAAAAGATAAAGCAACGTTGTAGCGTGAAATTTTTGGTGATACTCGAGAAGAACCGAAAATATGCTTACGAAATATTGGCTAAGATGTACGGTAAAGACGTGAATCAGGTGACCTTCTACAAGTGGTATAAGTGGTATTTCAGAACGATGGAGGGAGGATCGCTGTCGAGCCGCGCGAGAGGCGACCTTCGATTGTTGCAAGTGAACTTGTGACTGTACAGAAGTCACGATTCCTGGAACTTCTGTGAAATTTACTATTTAATGAAATGATGACAATACAATGAAATACCAGACTTTTATTTTCAAACAACAAATAACATTTATTGTAACATTCTAGCAATATATCTCGAATACGTTATAAATTCATGATTCTGTGAACTTTAAACATTATTCAACCGTACGGCTTTGATAAAGTTCGTAAGCATGCGGAATATCTCGGTTGATATAATCTTCACCAAAAAGGGGATGTCTTAGGTCCTCCTGAGGTGTAATGTATGAGCCTAATGTGCGCGTTAACTTAGAATGTCACCCGACTCTTACTAGTTATATTGTCCGTTGTTCGAAACATCCCTACGTCTGCTCCAATATTATCGCGTCGCGACTTTGCCTCACTAGGCTTAGATTGAAACCTCTATTCGCGCCTACTATTTTCCTAAAATTAGTAATTTATAATTCCCACTACGGAACTAACCTCATATAAACCCACGAACACGAAGTCTAAATATTTCGTGCAAAATTTATACACGACAATAAATGTAACTATTATTAAAATAATGCAAACGTTTTACCCACTTAAAACTCAAATAAACAATATTGCTTAGCCTACACTATTATGGATTAATCAAACAAACATTTACCCACAACATAAATGTATTATCGCAAAATTACAATTTCATAATGTTCATACCATGTGAACCGTAAAATATTGCTACCGAACACATTATACTTATCCACTAAACGTTGTTGCAGTCTCGAAAGCTTCCTTTCTTGTAGATTGGAGTTATAAATACGTTCTTCCACTCACTTAGAGGGTCACTTTGCTGAAGATATTTATTAAAAATTGTTACAAGTAGAAATAGCTATACTTACAATATAATAAATTTCTCGAATTTGTGAAAAATTACATCTGGAATATTATTTTCTCTATAAACTATTTGAGAGATTTCAGTTAAAATATACGTTTACCCATTGAAATATTTATTATTACATTTAGTTTGTTCTTTTCAAGAATACATGTTATATAGAACATAATTGTAGAAATAACAAATGCCATTCTAAAATTGGAATGCTCTTGGAAATTGTTACTCTCCTAAAAACTGCGCGTGGAGGAATTAGGTAAGTGAACACAGCCCCAAACGGCGCAGTATCCAGTCTTGAGGACAAGCACGCTGTCAGGAAGTGAGGCCATGGATGAACAACTACTTGTTTCAATGCCATACATTTCGCAAATAATAAACTATTACCAATTTTTGCTCAAAAATGACATCCGGAATTTTGGAATGAGGCATTACCAGGTCTACCCAAATTGGGGTATTCGTAGCCGCAGTCAGCAGGTGTTTCGTCGCTAACCACAACTTTGCCAGCCATTGTCAAAATACTCCGGAGGAGTGCGCGGGAAGGAATTGGTGAGGTGAACACAGCCTCAAACGGCGCTGTATAAAGTTGAGAGGACAAGCACTCTACCAGCATGAGTGGTCGGAGATGAATAACTACTTGTTTCAATACAATATAGTTTGCAAATAATTAACTTTTACAATTTTTTGCGCAAAAATGACGACCGGAATTTTGGAATTAGCCGCAGTCACCAGGTGTTTCGTAGCTAACCACGACTTTGCCAGCCATCGTCAGAACACTCCGGAGGAGTGCGCGGGGAGGAATTGGGCAGGAGAACACAACCCCTAACGGCGCGAGCTCAAGTGGCGAGCGCAATTCGCTTTCCGCCAGCACGTGAGGGCGGCGGAGGGGCGAGGGCGCAGGTGCTCGCGGCGGCGCGGCGCGGCGATCACAGGGCGACGATCACGCCCGGCGCGCATCAAATATTCATGCGTGTGCGTGCGTTGCGTGCACGCGAGTGTGTATGTGTGTGTGTGTGTGTGCGGGCAGCAGGCCGCGGTGCGCACCGCCGCCCCAACCGGCCGCAGTGGCCCAGTTGGCTAGCGATGCTCCGAAGGGCGACCGGCCAACGTAAAGGACCCGACCACTGCGCTTTGATGCGTGGGGGACCACAGCACAGACGTACAAGGATACACTTGAAGTGGTACAGAACAAAGTTCTACGGCTCATAGCGCGCCCTCCGTTTCTGAAACGGTTGAAAATACTGAAGAAGGAAATGATATCGAGTCCTTCTCTAGATGCTTGAGACGGTTATCGTTTAACGAAGCCTATCAAGCCTTTAAAACCCACGAAACTCTGGCAACGCTTAAGAAATTAGCTCGGCACGTTCTCACTATAGGATAAGGAACACAAGCACTCCCCTCGGATATTCTGAGGGCGTAGTGCAACGCAAAAGGCAATTTGGTTACTGACTAAAGTCATACGCGAACCCACACCAGCCACTTACACGTAGCTGTAAAACGCGAAATGCGTGCGAACTGCAACAGAAAACACACCAATCTTCGGCTAAGAAGAAAAAATACGCTTTGATTAGTTAATAAGAATTCGATTCGTGCAACCCACGTGCTTCAATTTCGAGACTTGTAGTGTAAACTGTTCAGTTCGAATCTCTTGTAACCATGTACTTTCGTTCGTTGGCTTATTTCCCAAGTTGGGAGAGTATGGCAACGAGAGGCGGCACGGTAGGTCGCTGCTTTCTATAT